GCCCATTTATTACTAGTCATTTTAATAGTGGTGATTATACAGTCAAGTTTTTTAAAAACTAGTAGTATGCCGTAATGAAACCTGTTTCCATAGATGTATACAAAAACTATAAAACACCTAGAAAATGCAAGATGTAGCTTGAAAGTGATAAAATCTGCCCATTTATAACTAGTCATTTTAATAGTGGTGATTATACAGTCAAGTTTTTTAAAAACTAGTAGTATGCCGTAATGAAACCTGTTTCCATAGATGTATACAAAAACTATAAAACACCTAGAAAATGCAAGATGTTGCTTGAAATATGAAATCTTTCTAATAATGAAGTATGGGACATTCAGTGTCTGTAGAATACTTTTTTCAATATAAATATCAAAATATTCCAGCCAACAATATATATATATATACACACACACATACATATAAAGATAAGTAGATACACATAGATAGTGTATGTACAGAGAGAAAAAGAGAAAAGTTGAATATAGAGATAATATAATGTCCCATCCTCTAAACTAAGCTAAAACTAATAAAAAATAACAAAAACCCTCAAAACTAGCCCTTATCAATCATATAGTTATCAGCTTTCCCTTAAACTCACTCAAATTTACTGCCTCCACAACACCTGAAGGCAACCCATCCCATAGGCCAACAACCCTATTCAAAAAATAAAACTGTCTTAGCTGAAGATGACTCCTACCCTACCAAAATATATATTTGTGTCCCCTAATCATACCATTCTCACCATTAAGTATGAAAAAAGATAATGCATCAACATTATCAATTCCCTTAGCAATCTTAACCCTATCGACACGGGTCAAAGGACATGTCATCGCATTTGTTTATTCACATTCAAAATGTTATTGAATTACTATTTTATGAATGATGTCAATAAGTTTGGTTTCAATTTGTAGATTATAATTCAAATTTTAGTATTATACAAATTAGTTAATTTCTTAATTTAAAAGTAAATATATAAAAAACACACCTATAAGAACCCATCTTTCCTATTTTCTGAGATTTTAACATATTTATTGAATCAACCAATGTCACTCAGCTCACCTCTTCAATTTTTGAAAATGCTTACTTACACCTATGTCGCCGAATGATGTGCATATAACCAATCAAAAGTTCAGAATGTCCCCCTAGTGGCTTTCTCAGCCTTTTTTAAGTATTTGAGCATCAAACTTGTTCTTTTCATGCTGGATTCCAAGCAGTAAGGTAAGACGTTAGTGTGCTTGAAATTTCATATTTTTTTAGACCCAAATACAACATAGTTATTAAGCTTGATAAATTATTGTGGAATTCTGTGGTATTGATAAAGCAATTTATGATTTTTGGTTATTTCAAAATGTATATATAAAACCTAAAACAAATATTTCCTTTCAAATCCTCTACATGTGAAATTTGATAAGGCTTAGCAACAAACAGCAAGCAGCAAACGAGTTTAAAGGTTGTAACTATAAGAGATAATTGTTTGCTTTACTTCTACATTTACAGTTCTATGTTTTAACAAAAATGAGTTTAAGAACTTATTTGTAAATTGTAATAATTTATATACATATATAATGTATAATAACTGAAATGTAACTGTATTTTACAAAATACTAGTCCACTAAAACACAGCCAAGACAAGTCATTTGTACAGACCAAAGGTCAGTTTTATGATATTTGATATGGTAACATGAGTGCATGTGCGCCGCGTCATTGTAACTTCTGTATTGTTAGCCAGGCACGGCTGAAAGGTCAATATAATAAAAACAAAAAAAATATATATAAATGTATAATGTTATGATATTTAAGCTATTTAGTCTAAACACTTGTGATTTCCTGTTATAATTTGTGTTCATTCTAGAACGAAAAAGGCATAAGTTATATTTATTTCCTAATTTTTTATGGCGGTTACAAGATTGGTCAAATCGACCAAACCCATACAGACATTCATTAGTGAA